CCCCCCCCGCCAGAAAAAACCTCACCCCGCCGCCAAAACCATCGCAACCACATACTCCCCATCATGCGAAATCGACAACTTGCCCACCCTGCCCTCACCCTCACCTTTCTGCCCATCCCCATCGCCCCCCAACCCATCCAGAAACACCACCTCCGGCCGCCCCTCATCGACCTCACTCACCCGCACAACCACCTCCTTCCACCCGAGCTGCGCGGCGCCCCGCGGCGCCGCCTTCCGCGCGGCCTCCTTGGCGGCGAACCGCCCCGCGAGCCAGCGGGTCATGTCCGGGGTGATCGTCACGGGGGGTAGCGAAGATGAAGGATGGGGTTGGGGTTGGGATTTGGGCTGCACTTGGGATTGGGATTGGGGTTGGGATTTTGCTTGGGGCTGGGGATCGTGTACATGTAGAGGTACCAGGGAGGGGGACAGCTGGAAGCGCGCGCGGAAGTCGGCATGTTCGCGGGGGTGCAGGATGCGGCGGGTGAAGCGGGCGAGGTAGGTGCCGTTCTGGCGGGTGAGGAGGCGGGCGATGCGGGGGAGGTGGACGATGTCGGTGCCGATGTTGAGGGCGAGGGGGAAGGGGGTGGGGGGTTTCATTTTCGTAGTCTGCGGAGTCGTGGGGTGGGTTTGTTGATGGTGGTGTGAGGTGATGGTAGAGAAATTGAGGATGGGAGGGAGAGAGGGTCGGGTCAGGTGACTGGTTTTGGTTGGGATTGGGTGTTTATTGAGGATATCTAGTTGGGGACTGACGGGTGTAGACACGTCAAGTAATTCAATTGATCTGTTGAATGATCTGCTGAAGTTGGAGGTGTGTTTTCTTAGTTGGAGCTGTTCGTGTCATCAAGCTCGATATGCATTTGACCTGGAATTGTCCTACATGTTATCAGTTAAAAATCGCCATTGCTACCCGGCTTTACAACTCATACGACCAATCTACTGTCCAAAACATCTCCAGACCAATTGAAGCAAGCATGGTGTATACTCTATATGTACAGATTCACACCTGACCCTCAGAAGTCAACCTGGTCAGACGTTTTAAGCGTCAAAGGCATGGCCCAACTCGGCCACGTTGCATCTGGGTCTCGCACCGGTGTATAATCGACTCGACTGGATCTTGCACGTCAGGCACATTAGATTCAACTAGTCCTCGACTCTAGCATGGGATACATCGGCTTTAATGGTCCTTCTTCTTGTCGTCTCCGTTCACCTGCTTCAGGAAGTCCCTGTAGCCAATTCGTTAGCTCGAGCGCGGTTGCAGTAGTTGGGTGCACCCTGTATCTGAATTGCAGGCCCCTAGCTGATCAAGCAGCTGAGGGCTGACAGGGAGTGGCATCCAGCCCTTCGCGAGTATCTTTCACAAGCCGCTGCCTCCGCCGCTTTTCCGCAGCTCAAGCAGCTGAAGTTGCATCCGATCGTCTTGAAGGGCCGCCATTTCGAGAATGGGAATATGTGTGCATTGTGCCTGCTTAGGGGCTTCGGCAACGTACGTGATGAATTCCTCCTCGTCCTTAGAGGAAGCCTGGATAGGAGGAGTAGCGGGCTTGGGCTGGCTGCCACCGCCCATGGCAAGCTTGACACCACCGAAGAGGGCACCGAGAACACCCATGGCGAGCTAGAGAGCGTGTCCCCGTTAGTCATTGATCCTCATAACGCGGGTCAGACACCGTCCATCCCACAACGCCTGGACAGAAATTGGCCTCGGACGACAGGGAGGGCCGGGCAGAGGTCGGGTGCGAGTAACCGTCGCAGCGGAGTACGTACATAGTGAGAGCCGACCTTCTTGCCGGCGATCTGGTAGTAGACGACCATGGTGACGGATTGGAGAGGGAGGGAATTGGATGGAGTTTGGCGGAGCAGCGGTGCGATGATAGGTTCCTGCGCGAATAAGTCGAACGGACGGCAGCGGAGGAAGTTGCGGCTGTTGGTTCTTCCCCGATTGGGTATGGTAGGCTGACTCAGTAATGAGTCAGCAGCGGACAGCCGCCCCGCTGAGTCAGAGCTGAGGTCAGCAGCTCCAGCTGTGCTCCTTCACGTGACCTACAGCTTCCTCCGGGATCGTCCGACGGCGGATGACGTTCGGGAAGCAATCACGGGATATCAGCTGATCTGACACTGTCTGTATGGGCCGATGATGTCCTCATGCTCTCCTCAACAATAAGTCCATTCATTATAGGACGATCCAAATCGGTCATCTACAATTGGACTGATCCATCAATGTGATGGTCAGAGTCACCAACAGTACACACAACAGCTTAACCTCATCAGAGCCAACTCAATCCTAAGCCGTTGACCAACGCAGCGTGCATCTGCCAGCCATGAGGTCACTACTTGGACTGTAAGTGATTGTGGCGGTGTTTCATGCCCAGCAAAGCTGCTGCTGGCTTCCTGTTTCCCGACAGACCTCGGGGCGAGAAAGCAAGACACGGAGAGCCTCCATTCTGGCTATGACGGGCAAGATTTACCCCGGCTATTGCATGGAATGATCTGTTGGGGGCAGCTGCCCCTTCTTCTACTTTTTTTTGGTTGCTTCGGTCTTCTTCTTCTTCTCTTCTTACATTCCTCCCTCACTTCTTTTTCTCTCAGCCTTTCTCTCTTTTGTGTAATTCAATTTCACTCTTCCTCCCTTCATTACACTGCATACACCCCTTGCAACCTTCTGTCTCTACATCATATAATCCTCAGTAAGTCAATATTCCTCCCATCTTCCCAGTCAGGACACCTCACTTACTCATCACTCAGCTTCCGGAACTCCTCACGCGACCGCATCATGATTTGGGGGAAACAGCAAGACAAAGCGCCCGAGGTGGTACAGCAACCCATCCCGCGCGAGAAGCTGCCGGATCAGCTTCAAAAGCTTGTTGACCACGACGATGGCTTCTACGATGACATTTATTCCTCCTAGTATGTCGTTCCCTGTTTCCTGGGGCCGTTGCGACGCACCGTCCCTCGCCCGACCACCTCCGCGTCTCCCCGCATTCTTCCCCGCAAGCGCCGGACTGCAACTGTCCGCTAGTCGGTGCGATTATCCCGACGCCAGCCCAGGCAGCAGCAACCATCAATTTAATACGCGGAAAAATTATTGGGATCAATCTAACCCATCGCCAGCTCTGTTGACTCCACGGAAACTCCCTACCGATATGCCGGTTACGCTACTCGTCTTCGCACGATTCTGCTCTCCGCCCACCGCTATGTCGCCTACACCTCTGACATCGGCGAATCCTTCCGCCCCGTCGCGCACCCGTGGCTCGTGCGCTCCGCCTATGGTATTTCATGGACGTATTTGATCGGCGACGTCGCGCACGAAGGATACAAGGCCTACCTGCGCAACCGCAGCCTGCTCGCCCCGCCATGTGAGGCCTACAAAGATGCCAGCGACCTCTCTCCTGAACAAGTCGCCAAAGGCATGGTGACCGGCAACCTGACCAAGCCTCTCACCTCGACATCGACCGACACGCTCACTCCCTGGCCCACCACCGAGATTCCCCTCATCGAGGACTATCGCATGGTAATGGCCAAGCGCGCCGTGTTCCAAAGTATAGCCAGTATGGGTCTGCCGGCCTTTACCATTCATTCCGTCGTGAAATACTCAGGCCGGGTGTTCAAGAAATCCTCGAACACTTTCCTCCGCACCTGGTCTCCCATCGGAGTAAGTTCCTCTGCAATCTGAAACCACCACCGCAGAGACAATTGACTGATTACCACAGCTCGGTCTGGCCGTCGTTCCCTTCCTCCCGTATCTCTTCGACGAGCCCGTCGAAGAAGCCGTCGAGTGGGCCTTTAGCCGCGGGCTCTGGCTTTACGGCGGCGACGAAGCCGTCCGCCCCCTACCTCCGCCAAAGGCCGCCCACGTCTCTCAGGACGAAGCCACCTCCCTTAGCCACTACCTCCGCGTGCAGACGCAAAAGCACAACAAAGAGTCGCTGGGCTCCGACGCCAGCGTCTCCGACTCGGCCGCCAACCTCTCCTGGGAGGCATACAAGGAGGAGCGCCAACGAGCGAAGGAGCAGCGCCAGCGGGAGCGCGAGCAGCACGGCCACACGGGTCCGCTCTCTTTCCTGAAGGGATTCGTCAAGGAAAAGACGGAATAAAGCTCCCAATTTGCCACTATATCTCTATATTGCTTCCTTGATACCAGATTTTACTATGCATCTCCTGGACCACTTCAGCGTTTGCCTGGCGCTCAGAACATTTAGTTTCTATATGTATATAAGTTAGCGGGTCTATCCTCTTTACTCATTTTTTTTTGATTGGCAGGATCGTATCGGTCCATTGATTGTCTGTTTGACAACGTAACTCTATCCAGGGTGGATGGCTATTGGATATGAGGTAGGATATTTGCCGCTACTATCCACGAATTGAATCCATCACCATTAGACGGAGATGCACCCACACCACCCACACTTGAAGCTATAACATTTCCATACATGTCGTCGCCCACATACAAGAGGACAACCGAGTATAATTCCACAATACGAACCGAACCCGCTGCATGAAACTTATTCTGGCCACCTTCTCTCCCAGGCCGGTCTCACACTTCCAGGAACACGTGGAGTATGACCACCCGAGGCGAGACAACCAAAATAGAAACCAATGAACTTCAGTGAAGATAGCAAGCTTTCGCAAAATGCAATGCATCTCTATATACATACCACAAAAAGCCCCATCTCGAAAAGGGAAGAACAGAACCGCCCCCCACCCCGTCCTCCCTTAGCACCAAAAACAGTGCTCAAACGATACACTAAAGAAAGATGCCCTATATAGTCAAGCAATAATACTTAGAACGGTACTTACAACCACACACACGCCATTCAATCGAGCCGGGAATTATATTTCTTGCTATGCAAAAGCCAGATGGGAATTTGATGAGAATGCAGGTTCTGGTGGGAAGTTAATGGGAAAGTTGAGAGAGGGAGGGAGAGAATTATAGTTTGCACGCAGGCACTTGGGGTGGTTGTATGACAGGGACTAAAAAAGACTTTGCTATGTTGTAGAGAGAATGAGGGCAGAACAGAAGGGTTCGCTGAATTTCATGGACCGGTTGACCGCCCTAGGCACCACCAGCGGTAAATCAGTCATCCTTGGACCGATCCCTGGATGGTTGAGTCCTGCTCGATCGTCCAGGTGACGGGGTGGGGAAGCGGCCTCTGAGGGTCGAGGATGAGGATGTCGAGGATGTTCCGTTGGGGGGGAGGGAGGTCGATGCTGATGTTGATGGGGGATTGCGGTCGAGATCGCTGCGACGTGCGGTTCCTCTGTCCGCTGGACCTCCGGGAGGGTTGGGTGCTGCCGGCTCTAGTCCATCGTTCAGCTCGATGAGATCGCCCAGATTATTGCGACGGCCGCTGGTTTGGAGGATCTGGACCGTAGGGTCGGTGCTGGAGGGGGTGCCGCTTGCTTGCTGCAGGTCGTTGAGGCTGGCTTTGGCGCGACTGGTCATCTTGCGGACCCACGATTCGACGGCCCCGCCAATGTTCTCGAGGCCCGTGGGGGTGTTGGAGACGGCAGAGGCGGTGGGGGTATCGGAGGTGGTGTCGAAGTTCGGGGGTCGGGTGGCGGGCGCGAGGTTGGGGAGGTGCTGCGCGAAGAACTTGCTCAGTCCGTCCATCGCGGGGCCCGGGGCGGTGATGTCGCGGTCGAGTGTGCCGACGCCGGGGGCGGAGAATTGAATGCCGCTGTGTTGGCGCTGATGCCGGGTTCCGGGCCTCCTGGGGTTCTTAGGGTTCTTGGGAGAAGAGGGGTCGGTGGACTGGCGACTCCATTGGAATATGGGGGGCTGGAAGGACTGGGGTTCAGCCGGTGATGAGGATACAGAGGAGGCTGTTGCCGTTCGTGTCTGATCCGAGGATGGTGATGGTACGGAGTCGGTATACGACACCGATTTTCGCCGTGTGCGTGGGAAAAACCCCAATGCGCCTCGAGGAATGCGCCCTATCTCGACTGGCGCACTGAATCCTTCGATCTCTACCCAGGACTCGTGCTTCCACACCCGGTCCCCGTCGCCTTCGTGCATAGTACTTGGTGGTTCCGTCTTCGGATGTCCCGGTACTGCAGTGGGTGCGATCGAGCTTCCATTCAAGTCTTCCAGAGACTCATGGGTACCGTTCAGTAGGTCAGCGTCGGGCCCACTCCGTTTTGGCCGTCCTTTGATCGAGCAAGCGGCAACCGGCAGGAGAACCGTTTTCCGGCCTTGTATGCTATCGCTGGGCCAGAATCCGTTGGCCTTTCGGAAAATTGCCGGCTGGCAGCCATATCGTATCGTAACACCGGTGATGGTATCTGTCGGTTGCACATGGTGTATGTATACTAGCGCGTCCTCGTCTTGCTCCGGGTCAATGTTGGAATGACCCGTCTGGTCGCTCGAGTCCCGCCGCTTGTGTCGCGAACCGGGTGCCCAAGCTGGCCCGGTGTCAGCCAGCAGAAGAGCCTCGCGTTTCTTTGCCTGCACCAATGCCTGCCGTTCTTCCTTGGTCCCCACTCCAATTTCCGGTGTCGACGGAGCCGATGGTCCCCATGACGCAGGTATGGATGAACGAGGGGGTGGTCTCGAATATAGGTCCGGTCGGGAGGGTTTCCGGGCATGACCTCGCGCGGTCCCGTTGGGAGCCGGTCGCGCAATATCGCTCCCTAGTACTGACGAGGCCAAGCTTTGCAGCGACGACCAGGATGCGTCCAGAAAATCTATAGATGAATATATTGTCTCAGCCAACTTGGATCCAGTCCTCGTGTCTTTGACGGAACCCACCTAGGGAGCTGTTTCCTCGATTGCGGTTGAAGGATTCGGTAGCTCGAGATGGATGTCTCATCGGAATAGGGGACACTCCGCGGGATGGATTTGGCGATGGAGTGGCACCGCGAGAGCGGACGACCGACTCCGAGGACAGCATCGACGCCAGTCCGGAGGACTGCATTTGCCTCCCACCATCCTCATTGTCACTGTCGACGATGGAGATCAAGCGGCGAGTTCGCGGTCGCACGGTTGATGTGGATCTAGTGCTTGCGGTCCCGGGGTTGAAGGCTTCGGCCAAGCCGCTGTTGGAACTCATCCCTGGCTGTGGGAGGAGAAGGATAATAAGGGGTTGTAGACGTTGTCAGCTCTCGGGAGCGAGCTTAGCATGGATGAGATCGCCCAGGCACTGATTGCCATCGGAGGTCTCTATCTCAGACCATTCGTCATGCGGCGGTTGTGATTATCGCATCCGTGTCCTAATCGTGAAACACCCGCGGCACCTGGAGATTATCAGGACAGTAGCACCCGTGCTTTGGCCCGATTGTGTAGAATGTATCGATTTCGGGGATATAGGCTCTGAGCGACCCTTGAGGGTTGAGCTGCGTTTGGGGGAGGGGAGGCTTTGAGGGGGGATGGAAGCGCGGGATAAGAGAAAGTAAGTATGGAGTCTAGTCCCTTGTGATGACGACTCCAGGTCGGGAGGGGGAGTTGGTCAATCGTACTTGAGGCGGGATGATTGTCTCCTGATCGGTCGGGACAGAACGTCAAAAAAATTCGGGGAATTTTGAAGCTGGAGAAGAGAATGGAGAAGGACAGCGGCGACGATTGAGAAGGAGAATAAGGCGAGTGGGAATCGCTTGATCGGCAAGAAGCCTTCCCTAAGTACTCCGTAGAGTACAGACAGTAGTTAACTACCAGTAGTAATCTCAGTGAGTCTCTCTCTGTCTTAACTTGTCTCGCCCTCCCTTGACGTCGCCCGGTGGCGTACCGATTCATACTGTATGGTACCATTTCACAACACCGAAATTGGCTGGCCGCGTAATCGGGTTACAATACCATTTCCATTGCTAATGCCTAGAATAGCAAGTATCCGAGTATCTTGTCCCAAGCATCTCATCCCAAGCATCAATGATGATAATACACAGGGGCTCCAGGAACAGTCTATGAACAGAAGTATGTCTAGTAAGCCCTGTCGCAGACAGAATTGATTGCACAAAGCCAGCATGCCAGTTATCATCACTGGCAACAATTCGCGCTTAGATAGCCAAGCCAAAGAACCAGAGAGAGAGAAAAAAAAAAAAAAAAAACGCCGGACCCATCGGGCAAGTATAGATTGACATGGAGGTAAAATGCACAGGAAAATCCAATGATGCCGGATGAAGAAGAGAACTGGTTTACTCGGGAGGTTCGGCCATCTCCGCCGGTCGTGTCTCTGCTTCAGACGTCGCTTCAGACTCGGTACTCCATTCTTTCTCCGAGTTCGCTTTGGCCTGAACCTGAGTGGGTGGAGGAATGACCCGAACACCACCGGCACGGCTGAAGAAATCCTCCGTCCGTAGGCCACGGACATCCTTGGGGTCTACTGAAGCCATCTGCTGCCCATCGGCCTTCTTTTGTCGGATCAACTCTCGCACCGGAACCATGGCCGCATCACGGCACGCCTCCTTGATATCACTGCCGGACATGCCTGACATGGCTTTAACGAGGTAGTGCAGATCGAAGTTATCCCGGTCGACCTTGGTGTCCTTCAAGATCAGACTGAGAATCCGCAGGCGTTGTGCTGCGGGCGGGAGTACGACCGGGAACTTCTTCGGCATTCGTCGAAGGATGGCGTCGTCAATATCTTGGATACGATTGGTGGCACCCAAGACAACCACGCGCTGAGGTTCTCCCAAGGAGTTTGCGGATGTGAGACCGTCCCAATGTGTCATGAATTCTGCCTTGACCATGCCACTGGCCTCATGTTCTCCGCTCCGTCTCGTGCCCAGCACCGCATCGATCTCATCAATGAAAACAATCGAGGGTTGAAGTTTTCGGGCTAGCGAGAATACTGCATTGACGAGCTTGTTGGAGTCGCCGTACCATTTCTCCGTCAATGTTGAGATGTGTAGGTTGATGAAGCATGCGCCGCTCTCGTGAGCCAACGCTTTCGCAAGCATAGTCTTTCCGCAGCCAGGCGGTCCGTACAGTAAGACACCCGATGGCGCGGTCAAGAGTGAGGAGGACGAGGAATATAGGTGGGGCATCGTAAGGGGGTATATAACAGACTCTTTCAGCTCCTCGATGATATCGTCCAGGCCGCCGATATCTTCGAAGGACACATGAATATCGTCCGGAGCAACCACATCCATCGCGATGGCT